CTAGCTACTACTAACTAAACTAGCTAACTAACTAACTACAGGTCGCAATTTTGAAGATAATTCAATGAAATTTGGCACATGATCTTCTAAACTAAGTTCTATACTAGCCTTGCTGACCCTCATGAATTTATATTATTATAGGGTCTCATTTTTTTCATTTTTTATTCTGTTAATACATTTTCTATAGTTTTAGAGAATTTTTAATAAATTTAATTTCTTCTTAATATTTAAAAGATTTATAATTTTGATAAAACACATGATGAAGACAACGTTTGTCGTCCTCATTCTAATCGTCGCAACTATTCACCGTTACTTTCATTCTTCCAAAAAAGGCACACTCTTTTCATTCTTTCCATTTCCCAAACACAAAAGAGGTGACCACAAATAAAAACAAGCCACCAACAACCACTTTTATATTGCAAATTACCACACTGTGAATTAAAAAAACTACAGTTCAATAAATATTTTTGCCCTCGAGCTACAAAAGTTCTACTCTAATTCTTAAACAACAACAAAAAGTAACAATATAAAAATCATTCAAGCTTATTTAGCTTAAAGGTAAATACAATAACGACCAGCAACAACAACAAAAGAAAACACATGCTTTTACCCAAATACTACCACCCAAGGACTTCTTCTTCTTATTATAAAATAAATACAATAAAAACAATTACTATTATACTCAATCATCTTGCATTTATTTGTACTCTTTTTTTACACTTTGTAATAATTATTTGCCACAATAATGGCGCAACAACAATAAAAATTTATTACAGTTAAAAATTTGTATTTCTTCTCCTGCGGTTTAACGGTAATAGAGACTCACTCAATTATGGAGAGCACTACTCATTTCTAATGAGTTTTTGTTAAGAGCAATTTGTTGTTTTTGTTTTATTTCAACTCACAGTCAGTCATTGTTGTTTTATAAGGCAACCATTTTTTCCGTTTGTACGACTAATTTCTCATCCAATCATCGTTGTTTTCATTTATCTTTTCTACCTACTTAAACCAATCGTTTTATTTGAGTATTCTTCTATTCTTTTGGCTTTTTTAGTAGGATTTGTTTTTTTTGTCTTTTTTAATTGTTTGTTGTTGCGTTTTTGTGTGTGTGGGCGAAATTTACGTTGTTTTTTGTCTTAAATAATAAATTGCGCAAAAGTGTTCTAAGAATTTTGTCTTAAAGTTAAAATATAAAAGTAATGGCGCCATTATTAGGGAAAACAAATATTTTTTTTGTTTATTAGGAGCATAAATAATAGTTTGGCGACTATTTTGGCGGAAAAACTAGTTATTGTTGTTTGTAGGCAACTTCTTGAAAAATAATTTTGTTTTAAAATAGGAAAGTTAAGTTAAATAAAGCAACGATTGGAATGATTTTTTTAATGGAAATATTTTTGTATTATTGGACATGTTATAGTCATTATAAGGACACACAAAATTACTCTCTAAAAAAGTATTTTATGTGCATAAAATAGCTCTTAAAAACTAAAAATATGCTCTAAAAATATACAAAATATGTAATTAAAATTTATCATCATATTCCAAATGAAACCCTAGGACTTAAAAATAAAGTTTAACCTCCATCATAACTCCATGTTTCTTCGGGATATCTTAACCCTTTGAGTTTTGAAAAACTATACAATTACAAAAACTCAATTTTGTCATTATTCTATGATTACAAAGTTATTTGTCCTCAATTTGACTTCGGACTTTCGGACCACATAACGGATTTTATAAATTAAGGTTTCTTTTTGCTTTTATAAGGTCCCAAATATGTCGGGGTGTTTTAATTCAGAAAAGTAAAATTTCGGTCTCTCGGTTTCGACTTGTTTAAAATTTTGTCTGCCTGTGTAATTTTCTAGGAAAGGAAAGTTAATTTCTTTTGCTTTACATTTCATTGAATAAATTTCTAAAATAAATTTTTTTAATATTTGAAAGACAAACTAGTAAGAAAGTATCGCCGGGCATGGCCGACCAAATAATTCCCTACACCAGTCCTTAATTCCGAAATGTTTAAACAATATGTTATAAGCTCGAGAGACCTATTCGAGGGGTATGGTTGTATGGGGACAATGTGAAATAATAGACCGATTTCAACCATTTTATCCATGTGACAAATTTCATCAAATTAACTCAAAAAATTGCGAGCTATAGCGTGTGCACAATGTTTACATGGATACACAGACGGAAGGACAGGTGGACATAGCTTAATCAACTCAGAAAGTGATTCTCAGCCGATTGGTGTACTTTAAGGATCAATGATTTTGGACATCATCAGCACAAGCTATAGTGGTGTAGGGTAATAAAAATGTTATTGAATGGGTAAAAAATGTTGACAAGCAAAACAATTTTTTTTTCAATCAGAAGGAGTAAATACATAAATACAATTAGGTTCAATTATTGACCGAGATGTTCCAATTTAAAAGACTGATTGAATTTCGGGAGATGGATCCATACTATATGAATTGATACTTTTCTTATTTGTAACCACAATTTACTTATTTATTCAATTTATTAAAAATTTTATTATCACATTTAAACTGATCTTTTAATGATTTTTGGAGTATAAATTAATTATCTCCAAAAAGAGTTATATAGGAAGTATGATCAATTTTTGACCGATTCTCATAGAATTTTATAAAAAATTTTGGTTCCTTTCATTTGCTAGACTGGTATTTTTACGCTAGTTATGTATGTGCGTTAAAGTAATTTTCTGAAGGGGGCATTAGATGGGGGGTAGGATCAATTATGGACCGATTCTCAAAATTCTACAAGAAGATTTTGATTCTTATAAAACTTGTTTATTTTGAATTTCATCGCTATAATGGAACAAGTTATGGATATTAAAGTAATTTTTTCAGTGAGACTTTATGTGGGGATAGGGTCAATTATGGACCCATCCTCATAAAATTTGAGAAACAGATTTTTTGCCTATAAAACTTGTTTATGTCGAATTTCATAGCTATATATTTTTCTTAAACCAGTTATAAACATTAAAGACATTTTCTGAAAGGGAACTTATATGGGGGGTTGGGCCGATCTTTATAAAAGAGATGAATGTTCCTATAAGACATGCTTATGCCGAATTTCACGGTTATAGATGATTCTTTTAGACAGTTTTAAGCGTTAAAGTAATTTTCTGAAGGGGACCCTATATGGGGGGTAGGGTCAATTATAGGCCGATCCTTATAAAATTTTACAAATATATTAAGGTTCATATAAGACATTTTTCTTCTCTGACATTTATGAGCGTTTAAGACATTTTCTGAAGGGTACCTTATATGGGGGCTAGGCGAAATCGTAGGCCGATATTGCCCACTTTCAATACCAAACAAACTGCATCGATATGAAATATCTGAGCAAAATTTTAGCTTGCTAGTTACTTCCATTTGGACTCTATCGTGTTTTTAACAGACGGACGGACAGACATGGCTAGAGTGTCTTAGAATCTAATAAGGATCCACAATATATATACTGTTATTCCATCTATATTCATGGGTGGTGTAAATATTAAGGAATCGAAAACTCTTGAAAATATACATGTCCGCTGGACTAAAACATTTTTCAAGTCTCGAAAGAAGCATTCAAGTGTCTCGGTTTTTTAAAACGTTGTAAGTCATACTTCACACTATTTGATCTGCTTACTATTTACATCATCTATATCCGGAAATAGAATACAATATCATATATGTATGGGCCGGAGTTTCGAAGTCTATTTTGGAGCTACTCGACCGCGTTCAGAAGAAGGCGAAGTGACTTATCGGTGACAGTAGGTTATATAACACTATTGATTCACTAGAGCACCGCCGCAATGTAGGTGTGTTTCGCAGTTCTATCGTTATTAGAATGGAATGTATTCCTCTGAAATTAGGGAACTCGGTAACAAGTTACCCTCATATTTTTAGGCAATACACGCCTTTCTTCAAGAACACATCCATTTGCGATAGATTGGCCAGTGGACAGCACGACACATTAAAGGGAAAAATTCATTCTACAGCCGCACTGTTCGTATGTGCAACAAACTTCCCTCCCACAACCTATTCTACTAGTTCCAACAATGCTTTGCATAAGTAGGAGTCATCCCATGAGTGTTGATCCATAATAAAACATATTAAAATTTGTTTTTTTTTTCGCTTTTTATCGAAATAGTTGTCAAAATTTTAGTAATTTTTAGCTTTTACAGAAAACATTTTTTGGCATCAAAATTTTTTAAATTATTTTGGAATTTAGGTGGCTTTTTATAATGCACTAAAAGTCGTTTTGCGGATCAGAAATTCTCTAATACTCTATTTTTATTCGAAATCTTATTCATTTAAAATTTCTTTTTCTTCTATAAATTCTTTCAAACTGTACCTTTAAAAAACAGGACTATTTTTAAAATAAACAGCCTACTGCCGTTAAAATAAACAAAATAATTGATTGTGTAATATAAACAAATCATAAAAAAAGGATTTTATTTTTAAGCATTTTAATCCTGAAATTAAACTGTGTTGAAAAACAAACACTCACGCCAACACAACATACACAAGTTTTGTGTTTACACTGCTCCAAGAGCATTAAAAACGACATAAACACTTCAGTGCGAAAAAGCGGCCACGAAACAGGGATGGAGGGCAAGCAAACAGCACTTGTTGTGGCACAAACAAGCAGGAGAATTTTAAACTTAAGCAGCCAACCAGTAAACAGTTTAAGGAATGAAGAAAAAATATCACTCAAAGAGTAAAATTTGGGCGCACATTGCGCACATGTGTTTCGGTGTTTTAATGAGGAGGCTGGTTGGTGGTGGTGGTTGCCTTTTAGACAATTTAAAAATAGAATAACCTCTTCAAAAAAACAAGAGTCCATGGCAAACAATTGTATGGAATAGCTAAATGAGTTAAAATTTTTGGGCAAAAGAGTTTGTTGAGTTTTTGAGTGCAATTTCCCAATATTGGGCCAGAGCAAGATCAGTATTTAAAGCGCCGGAGTTTTGAGAATCAACAACAAACCCAACGTGGCATTTAGAGAGTGAAGACATACAATTTAGAAATTGTTGTTTGAAAATTGTATAAAATAATCAAAAAATTATAAGATTAAAGAAATTAAGAAACAAAGAGTTTAATATTAAAAAAAAATAAAGCAAAAGAAACAATATTTAAGAAAAATTATAAATAAACAAATTCCCAAGAAAAAAAAAATGTTAACAAATATGGAAAGTGCTAATAGTGGTTTATCCGGTATCGGTAAAGTTCTCACCACCCCTTTCTCGATTAATGACATTTTAACGCGTAATAATGCGGAACGCCGTTTATCACGCACCGAATCGGAATTGGAATTATCGGCCGTTAATATGCGGGCGGAAGAACAAAGTTTAAAAAATTATATGAATTACAAATGCAGTCGTTCATCCAGTGAAAATGTTGCGGAGGCTACAGCGGCAGAACATGCCATGAGATCAGGGGAATTTCGTCCCTCTTTTTATGCTTTGGATAATAACAATCATGCGGATTATATGGCTCATAAATTGGGTTACTTTAGTGCAGCTGCAGCGGCCTTGGCTGGCGGTCGTTCTGACTGTCCCATTGATATGAGAAGATGTACCAGTAATGATTCCGGTAAGTTGAAAAATTCACTTTAAAAGAAATATTAATTTGAAAAAAAAAAAATATATAAATAAATACTTTTTTAATGATTAAATTTAAACTAATGATTTATTTTCTTTTGTGTTAATTTTAGATTGTGACTCTCCTCCTCCCTCGGGCAATTCTTCCGGTTTATATACCTCACCCACCAATGATGGTTCTTTGTCTCCTTTACAAGATGATTTGCAAGGAGGAAGTTTAAATCGTAAGAAACGTTCGAGAGCTGCTTTCAGTCATGCTCAAGTTTTTGAATTGGAAAGACGTTTTGCTCAACAACGTTATCTTAGTGGACCTGAACGTTCGGAATTGGCCAAATCATTGAGATTAACAGAAACTCAAGTGAAAATCTGGTTCCAAAACCGTCGCTACAAAACCAAGCGCAAGCAAATCCAACAACATGAAGCCGCTTTAATGAATGCTGCTGCCAGCAAACGTGTGCCCGTCCAGGTTTTAGTAAGAGAAGATGGCACCACCACCTATGCTCACATGTTTCCTCATACCGCTGCCAGTTATGCTCATGGTTTAGATCCCGCTCTTATCAATCTCTATCGTCATCAATTGCAAATGGCTTATGGTGTGGGTGTACCTCTACCGCAAGTACCTTTTCCCTACTTCCCCTATGCTCATGCGGCAGCAAATGGCAAAATTCCTCAACCCATACCACCACCCTCACATGTAAACTCAGCATCGGCTAAAACCTCCCTATCTTCACACTACATTAACAACTCCTCGGCTTCATCCTCACCTACCCACCTTAATCGTTGCACACCCAGTTCCAGCCCCAATAACCACTCCACCACCAACAACAACAACAACTCCAATCCCGCCTCTTCTACAAATCACCGTGATTTACCCACCAGTGATCACTCACACTCCGAAGTTGAAGATTTTGAAGAAAATGTGGAAATTGATTAGAAAGAAGAAATTCCATTTTTGTTTAGAGAAAAATTGTGATTTTGTTCAATAATCATTTTTAAAGGTGGCTTGTGATATACTAAATAGTTAAAGTTTTAAAATTTTCTTTTAAATTGTTTAAAAAATAGTGTGAATTTGTAGTCTTTAGTGTTATTGTTTGAGATCCTTGTTATCTAAAGGATTTAATATTTTACAGCTAAGAAACCAAAGATTAGTTAAGTAAGTTTCGCTATTTTTTTAAATTTTTAATAATAATTTAGTTAAATTTCTTTTTAAGTTTTATCAACAGTATTATATTGTACTTGTGTAGTTAGTTAATTTTAAGAAAAAATAATACAATTTGTTCAAAATTTAAGTTTAAAAAAAGTCTGCAATAAAAGCAATATATTTGAAAACAAAATTTTAAAAAGCTCTTCAATAATTTGGGTTATTAAATATAAAAAATTGGAAATATTATGAATTTTCAAGGTTCCAATTGAAGATAAGTAAGTATTCTTTGAAATTGTGTCATTAAATTGGACGGCAACAGATCTTAAATGAAGTAATTTGATGCTCTCCCTCGAGTAGTCAGCAAAAGAGTTCGAAACAACTTTCAAAAAATTTGCGCTTATTTTGTCATAAACGAAACGCTACTAATGACATCCGCAAAGATTATCGATCTTTTCAAAACGAATCAGACTTTTCGTTAGTCCATACTTCAGTTTAGGTATTGTTTAACAGCTTAAGAACGTATTAAAATGGCGTAATTTTCCATCTAGGCTGTATTTTAACTCTTCAGAGCCTCAATCATAGGTATTTGCAAAGTCCAACAGTATCGAAACGAAAAAAAAACTTTGAAGAGATGGTTCGTGCGTTTCCGATGTCGTGATTTGAACACTGAAGACAATGATCGACCAGGCCAGCTAAACAAGTTTGAAAACCAATAATTGAAAGTATTACTCGATAATGATTGGCCTTAAAGGCATCTTGCTTGCAAAATCATTGCGTTCAAATCTTGAATGAAGTTTTTGCATGTCCGAAATGCTGCCAGAAGCGTAAGGGATTGTATGTGAAGTCCGTCCAACCAGCCAAATCGACATAAAAGACTAATATCCATGGCGCCAAGGTAGATTGCTCTGCAATTGGTGGAATCAAAAGGAGACTTTCTATTATAAGCTGTTGAAGTCCAGCCAGACCATCATAGGAACCCGTACTGATTGCACCTAAGCCATTTTAATGGAGCATAGGCCGAAAATTTTCCAGAATATGCGGTCATACAAGCAAGCCTAATATTCTATTATGATAACGCTCAACCATATATGTATCTTGTTTTCTTCATATATTAATTTCAGTGTTGCCCGTGCAAATTTTGAGGATTCTAGCTCTCAGATATAGTAATATAATATTTGTTTTTAATTCATATAAGAAGTGCCATGTCCCCTATTGCTAGTCTGCCCATTTTTTTCTTAAGTATTCATATTGTTAATAAATAAAGTTGCTGCAACTAAATTTTTGGGCTCAAACTGCAATATCTTCTCAAATATACACTAACATAATCTTTCTTTATATGAAAGTGCCACGCCTACTAAAGCTAGTTCGCTCATTTTGTCCCCCAAAGTTCATATGACTGTCAAAGTTGTCCATACTAAAATTGAGACTCTATTTGTATCATTTTCCTAGATAAAAGACTCTTAAAGAAGTGGGCGTGGCACGTCGGCATACAGAAACACGTTGCATGACGAAATTGTCAAATCGATCTAGTCGTTTAGCCGTCTATAGACTTCAAACAAACTCACATACAAACAACACACATTCATTATACCCTACACCATTATAGATAGTGGGGAGGGTAATATACATTTTTATTGATGTTCGTAACACCCAAAAGTATTGGTTCTACATCTTAAAGTATACCAATCGGTTTAGAATCACAATGTTTATATGTATATAATATAAATATTGTTTGTTAATCAATCAAATATTAGAAATATTTATTGGCTTTAATTTATTTTCTTAAGAATACTTTTACAAACAACACGCATGTTTTACACGGATAACAAGCAAAAACAACAAAAAAGTGGCGAAAGGAATAAACAAAAAATTAACTAAGCAGTTATTGTTGTTTTGAGGAAAACAAAATCAACAACAATAAATAAATAATAAATATGCGAATTGATGTCTACGTAGCAATGAATGAGTACGAAAAAAAAAAACGCAAAAGAGCAACAAACAAACCAGCAACAAAATCTAAACAACAACAATAATAAATATAGAAATGAAAATATACAGTACAGACATGGAGCAACACATAGGGAGAAATGATGGAAAATAATTAATTCAAATCAAATTAAGCAAAAATGTATTAAAGGGTTAATAACTGCAACTAAATACAAATTTTTAATCAGAGATCCAAAGTATACTTTTCAAAAGGATTGAGCCCCGCTGAATCCGAATCTGAATGCGAATCATAATTTCTCCATCACATCTGCGATTTAAGATATCGGTTTCCAAACATTGAAAAAAAAAACGCCATTTCTTGCCCATTTTACTTAACATCTGACATACATACATACATATGTATGTATGTATCTTCTTTCTTTTTCGAGATATCATCACATAAAGTTGTCAGACAGGTCAGATTTCGTTAAGTCGAATCAGAAAGTGATTTTAAGTGGATTGAAACATCCGCAAATTCTGTCGTCGTGTTTAATCATGAAATATTAAAGTAGTAATAGAAGTAGGAGTTTATAGTCGGGCATGACCGACCATATGATACCCTACACCAATGATTACGTTAAAAATGTTGACTATTTTTTTTTTTTTTGATAATAAAGTATTTAGTTTCATTTTAACCTTAATTCAGAAATATTTTAACAATTTGTTGAAAAAAAGGGATTTTCTAAAAGAGGGGTTATATGGGACATGGGGGTTAATGTGGTCTTATCCTTATAAATTTTGGTAGAGGGATTTACGTATACATCAGTTATTTATGCAGAATATCATCGTGACATTAGTGTTTATATGTGAATTTTAACAATCCAGTCATTTTTTTAAGGGAACTTTTTATGGGGGATAGAGTCAAATGAAAGAGAAAAAAAAAATATACACCAAATTGACACCAAATTTTTCAATAACATCCGTTGTCAAGTATATATGTACATACATACAACAACAACATGCAATGTTGACCACTCAACGTTGTCCACATTGCAACAACGTTGTCGCAATCTAAATTTTATGCACATCCGTTGTCTAAAAGTTAACAAAATCCGTTGTCAATAGTGAGTTCACCACGTTTTTTAACTTTTAGACAACGGATGTGCATAAAATTTACATTGCGACAACGAATTGTTGCAAAGTTGACAACGTTGCGTTGTCAACATTACATGTTGTTGTTGTATATACTTGACAACGGATGTTATTGAAAAATTTGGTGTCAATTTGGTACCAGGCGTGAATATTTTTTCCCCTCTGTGTACGACATACATATAATCGACAAAACTTAGTTTTAGTATATTATACTTAAACTGGGCTCAAAAGCCCTATTCGGGGTTACGGTTGCGAAATAATGGACCGATATGTGTCAAATTTCATCAAATTATCTTAAAAATTGCAATCTGCAGAGTGCGCACAAAGTTTACATGGACACACAGACGGGCGGACAGACGGACAAACAGAGGGACATAGCTAAATCGACTCAGAAAGTGATTCTGAGTCGATCGGTATACTTTACGCATAGTATCCCCCCCCCCCGCTATAGTGGTGTAGGGTATAAATATTGATGTAATAGAACTTAATTGCGAAATAAACTACTGATTTATACTTCTTATTCCGATTTATTAAGATTATTAAGTTTTAATTTGAAAACTTTTCATTGAAAAACAATTGGTTATTTTACAGACTACGATTTTACCTAGCAAAAACTCAATAATTACACACAATTTTAATGGGGACAATTAAATTTGAATTTAAAAAAAAATGTTTAATGGCAACAGGTTAACGATCAGTGATTTTTAATATTCTGATGTTGAATCATTTTTTATGGGTATTTTCGAGTAAACTTTTAAAAATTAATTATTGACAATTTGTGAATTTTATGAATGATTTACGATGAGTTGTTGTTGAAGCAGAGGAAAGTTTAATGATTTATTTTTTAAAGAATTTTTTGAGCTGGAGTGAATGAGGATCATTTCTATTCACTTGTAAATAATTTGATTTGAAATTGTTTATGTTGAGTTAAAAAAATTAAAATTATGCAAAATTACACAAAGAGAATTTAACATGATTAGAAAGAAACTTTTTTAATATCATTACTATTAAAACAGTGAAGTGTACAAAAATGCGGAAAAGTTTTAAAAGACTTTTTATAAATTTCCATATAAATCTGTTGAATAAAAAAATTTATTATGAAATATTTTTTTTAAATACAAAAAAAAAAATATACTTAAGTTATATTATAAAGATTTTTGCAATAGCACTTATGCGAACAGAAAAACCACTTAAGTCCTTCACTTAAGCATAATTAAAGTGTGTTCTTTTTTGATTTCCCCTATAAACTTTAATATATTGTTTAAATCAAACAATATATGTACATATGTAGCCTTGACCCAACCAATAATATTGAAACCAAAAGCAGCAAAACTCATCATCATTAAAAAAATGTATCAAAAAAGAAACACTTCAAAACAACTAAAAAGCTACTTAAGTTTCTTTCTTAAAATAATTAACCATCATTGTGTATAGCTGCTGCTGGTTGTTTGGCTGCTTGCTTCTGCTTCAAGCTTCTAGCTGGCGTGAAGAAAAAAAAAAAATACTTTGAATTCTGGTTCTTCTATAAACCACTCCAACCATTTGCGCTCATTTCATGTAATCACTTCAAGTCATCTGTAATTTTGCATATTATGGAATTTTTCTTCCATTTACTTCATCCAACATCCAAATGCAGTTTATTTTCTTCTTATCTATCTAACATTATTTTTGTTGTCCGTATTTGAAAATCAAAAATCTTTTTTGAAAATCTTTGAATTTATTACATTTTTGATTTCAAAACAATTAGCTTTTTGTTCTTTTTGTGTAAGAAAACTTTTGTAATTTTGCACATTGTTCAAATGTTTAAGTTCTGTAGATTGGCCATTGTTTAAAGTGTTTTGTTCTAATTTAATTTGAAATGTATAAAAACCAGAGGCGTAGTATTGTCTATAGACTGATCTATAGTATTGAC